GGACATGAGTTTATTTTATTCCAAAGTATCCAAATTACATTTAACAGGTTATGTAGTAATAAGTTACTCGTCAAATTCTTATAATGGTACATCAGAAAGATTGTTTGTTTACTTATGATGGTACAACTATTTCATGGAGACTTGTGAAATTAATCATAGCAACAACTTCATTTAATTATGAAGAAATTTTTAGCACTAAATGAGCCAAGTCGAGAATGTGCTTAGTTGAGATTTCAAATTCAACATACACAAAAGACTTGTGGTTTAACTTCTAGAAAGAAATACAACAACCATATATGAAGATAATACTATATGCATTGCTCAATTGAAAGATGGTTATGTTAAAGGAGATAGAACAAAACACATTTCTCCAAAGTTATTTTTCACTCATGATCTTCAGCAAATTGGTAATTTAAGCTCCAACAAACTTGTTCATCTTGCAGACCTTTTAGTGTAAAAGATTGGTCTTTATCGTCAAAGAAATGATCGTTCAACTGAGGGGGAGAAATGAATTTGCTTAGATGAGGGGGAGAAATTAATTTTTCTTAAAAGGATATTGTACTTTTTTTCCTTCACTAGATTTTTTTCCACTGGATTTTTACTAGTAAGGTTTTAACGAGGCATATCATAAACAAACATCCAAGGGATACTGTTGAATAATAGATGATTGCCTCCCTATAATTTTATTTCTTATTTTTAATAATATGTATTGACTAGTAATAAGGTAGTTCCTTCAAAAAGAATATTGTACTCTTTTTCCTTCACTAAAATTTTTTCCACTGGATTTTTTTGAGTAAGATTTTAACGAGGCATATCCTTTATGGATATCTAAGGGGGAGTGTTATAAATGAAATTATTATGGATGTCCATCAATTAGGAGATTTTCACTGATTTTCTATTTATTACATATGTCCTATAAATAAGACTTGTATTGTACTTGAAATCGATACTGATAATGAGAATAATACAATATTATTTCTCTCCTCTCTTTCTCTCATTCGTTCCTACTCTTTTATTATATTGTTTGTCATTACTTTCATAACAATGATTTCTTTTTTACTCTAAAGAAAGTCAAAGTATATATGGTCTAATATGGGTAAGATGGAGTAGATCAAAAAACGGTTAAGATCCATGAATGAAACTTACTATTTTATTATAGTTTAATAAACAAATTAGAGTGGAGATCCCTTTTAATCCTACACAAAAATTATAGAATCTAAATTAGTCTTCCACAAAAAAAGAACCTGATTTAATCTCTTATAAAATTTAACCATGTCATATTAGTCCCTCTATTAGTATTTTTCTCAAACTGTTTTTTTAATTTTATTTTTCATTTTTTATTTTTTATTTTAATTTAATTTTTAAACAATTCAGATTTGAAAATATAAAAAAGAAAGAAAGAGAAATTCAATTCCTAGAAGGAATTGAACCATAGACCTTTAAGCCATATATTATGCCCTTACCACTAGGTAGGTCAATGTACATTGGGGGCAAATGATTCTCATGATTTATAGTAATATTAAACAATTTTAAATTTAAAATATAAAATATAAAACTTGTATCCATGGGGTCTCAAATCAAAGTCTCTTTAAATTAAATGATAATCACTTTACTCTAAATATGAAAAGTGATCTAAGATGGAGTGGATGAATTAGATTAACCAGTATTAGTGAATTTTCTTGATTATGAATGTTAACAATGTTCTTATTTTTTAGAAACTATTATGATTGTTAAAGCGTTGACAATGATGTATTTTCTCTTTTGTATTGTAAAATCAAAAGGTGGCAAGTCTTTGTAACTGAGTTAGATAGTTAAGAGAGTCAAGTGGATTGACTAAAATGTATCTGACATAGTGAAACATCTTAAAGAGGTGTGAGGGGACTGGAGTATCCTTGTTTGGAAAGGGGAATCAGGATATATATATATATATATATATATATATATATATATATATATATATATATATATATATATATATATATATATATATATATATTGGTGTTCTTTATTTTTCTGCATTTATTTTCAGTGTTTTAACATTCATAACAATTCCGGAAAAATAAGAACAACATTTCTAACATTCATAACAATTCCGGAAAAATAAGAACAACATTGCTAACATTCATAATCGAGAAAAATTCACTAATTCCGATTAATCTAATTCATTCACCCCTCTTAAATTACTTTTCATATTTACAATAAAGTGACTACCATCTAATTTGAAGGGACTTGGATTTGAGACTCCATGGGTATAAATTTTATATTTTTTCCGTTTTAAATTTTGAATTCTTTAATATTACTATAAATCATGTGAATTATTTGTCACCAATGTACATTGACTTATTGGTAAAGGTACGTAGCTTAAAGGTTTTACGTTCGATTCCTTTTTGGAACCAATTTTTTTAAATATTTTTAATTTGAATTGTTTAAAAATAAATTTGAAATTAAAAATAAAAATTAATTTAGTACTTAAAAAATTAAAAATTAAAAATAGGCCGTCCAATCATAGTTTAAAAGTATAAAAAAATATGATTTGAAAAAATATTAACAGAGAGACTAATATAACCTGATTAAATTTTGTAAATGATTAAATCGAGTCCTTTTTATAGAGGACTAATTTGGATTCTGTAATTTTTTTAAGAGATCAAAATGGAACTTCACTTAAAAAATTATAATATTTTTTACTATAAATGATAAATATCATCTTTAGACCATTTTTAGAGGTTCATATTAGATTTTGGTTCTATTTGATAAAAATAGTGATTGATTGATAAGTTAGTTGATAGTTGATAGTTTATAATTGATGGTTGATGACAGATAGTTTATAACAATATTTTAAAAAATAGACTGGAGATTGAATCAATAAAACTTTCGATTTAAGATGTAATTGGTTCAATCGGTTAACTACGGTCAAACTCTTTATTAAATAAAGATAATATGAAACTAAATTTCATAGATATGTCACTCATAATCATATGTTCACAATTTAATAAGATAAATATTTTAAAAATCTATTACAAACTTAATACAACAATATCGATGATATATATAATTATATATTTGATTTCAACCTTCATTTAGAAATAATTTGAACAAATTAAACTAATTCAAACCAAATCTAAAATAGTAAAACATAATAACTAAAATAAAATTTAAATAATTAATAATACCTAAATTAAATAAGATAGAATATAAAAAATAAACAATATAATATATTATTTAATATGGACATATTAAACTTTTTTTAAAAAGTGTTAAAAATGTAAATTTGATGCATTTTTTTGAATTGGACAGTTTTATAAAATCCACTTCGATTCTTTAGTTCGAATGATTTTGGACGATTCAATCTGATTTTTTTAATTTTATTTTGATTTTGATCCACTAGCGATTTTAAAAAATTGACCCAACTAAATTTATCTACGATTCTTGATCCAACTGATTGAACCGACCATTTCAGTCTGATTTTTAAAACATTAATTTATAGTTTATAGCTGAAGACATAAATTGATTGAAGTGTTTGATAAAATTAGCAGCTCAACTAAATAATTGATTAAAATAATTGTTTTACATTAAAATAAATTATAGAGGATACAAATAAATTTTTAATTAAAATAATAAGAATAAAAATAAAATAATAATAATAAATTATAAATTATAAACTAAAATAATATTTAAAAAAATAAATTATAAACTAAAATAATATTTAAAAAAATAAATTACAAATTAATAAAATAAATTATAAATTCGTCATGAGAGTTACTAATCATATTTTTTATTTTTTATAACCTATAAACTATAAGTTAAAAAGTGGCCTGACAAACATACTCTAATGTCTTCTATAAAATTCAAAATGTAACAATCGAATGAAATGATATACCTTTAATTACTTCACCATGTTATTTATTACTTCACATTTATTAAATTGAGGCTTATTGTCATTAGTAAACCATTATTTTAATGTTGATGGTTTTTCATGCTATGTAACTATGTAAGTACTACCTTTATTTTATATCATAAGACATCTTAGATATTTCATAAGAAACTTAATTATTATTGTATGGAAAAGATAAATTATATATGAATTTCATAGTAATGTCTTTCATAATTATACAAAAAAAAAATAAAAAGAATAAATAATAATAATAAATACGTGATGGTATATTAAAAAAATTACATTAGAATTATAAAATGATTTATAATTTGAGACAATTTTTTTTACAAATCATCTTATAGTAATTTTTGTCATTCCAAATTTCTATACTTTTCTTTTTAGCATTTCTAGAGAGAGTACAATCTCATAGCAATATGCTCCAAACTACTAAATGTTACAATTTCAGAAACTGAAAAATCAGAGCTGCAAAATCATGGCTGTAATACCAAATTTTCAATGTCATTCCACATTGTTGATTCTTTGTTCCAACAATGAACAAAATGATGACAAATTTAATGACATCATCAAACACATTTTTGCAAGTTTGCAACAAACCATAACAACAAACAAATTAAATAAACCAACACTATCAAGTTGCGTTCAAATAGAATAGGTAGAAGAGTCATACATCTCTAGGGTTATAGTGAAATCAAACTCAAAATCAAATTCATACCGCAAATGTGTAGAAGATTTCTACGTTAATTTCATGAAATTTTGATACGTTAATGTAACTGTGACACATTGTTACTGCTCTCACTAAATTAAATCAATAATCGAGATCATTCAACTACGAAAAATTAAATGTGTAATCTAAACTGTCAGATCTCAAATCCTTAAAAAGATTAATTATTCTCTAGATTATTTTTCTTAGCTAACAATAATATTTTTATATTATAACTCATTAATCATAATCATCTTCATATAATACAATTTGCACCTCATTGATTATGATACAAATACAAATTCAATTTCTTCGAGTTTAGAATGTACATTACAGTACATTGAAATAACTCAGACAAACAAATAAAAAAATAATTACCACGGTAAAATCACATCAAAGTCATTAAAATCAACGTTTGTGATTGTGAGCAACTCTTCCCAAATCAACAAGCTTCTTTGATCGATTGGCACATAATGAGGCTGCACTGGAAATATGATGCACCCCACCCACACCCAATTCCTGCGAAAACCCCTTATGGTTATGGTTACTCCAGTTCCGGTTCGGACTCGCCCGAACCATCGGACTCAAACACAACGCCATGCTCGCTAAGCTTTTTCCGGCGTATCCTAACCGCGACCGCCGCGCCGTAACCGCGGTTGTCGTCGCCGTCTTTATTCTATACGGCGAAGATTCCAACGAGGTTCCTAATTCTGATTGATCCCGTGCTTCGAAATAATCCTTATCCACCGGTGTTGCTCCCCGATCTAACTCACGGCACCTCCGTTGATCGCTGACGCGGTTGTTCTGCCGTCGAAGGGGAAGGATCGCCGATAGCCACGTCAACGACCGAGAAGAAACCGAAGACGACGGCTCAGACGATTCGCCAGACGAAATCTCCGTCTTACTAGATCTCGGACGGTACAAATCTGTCAGAATCCAGAATTTCCTTATCCTCCTCTTCGAAGATTGTGTCGCTGCTCCGTCGCACGCGGCGGATAATCCACGGTCACCATACGGTGTACTCTGAAACAAAACCTCCCGCCGCCGGTCATCTGATTTCCGGTGATTAACGTACGGAGAAACCGACCGTGGGAAAATCGGCTCCAACGACGGAAGTTTTGGTTCCGAGACAGAGACACGCGACGGTTGCGCCTGAGTCTCGACGATTTTGAGGAGGCGCTCACGGAGGCAAGAGGCGCAAACGCCGACGGTGCTGGAAATATCCGGTAAGTGTTTCTTACACCTCATGTTCCTCTATGCGACACCGTTTTTCGCGTTCTATGCGACACCGTTTTCGCTTTATAAGCTTTTTTTTCTTCTTCTTTGATTGTGTTGTGTTAACAACTAGAGGATCTGAAATTGATGGAGAATTCAAAGAGAAGATTTTGTCCTGTTGTTGAATGAGTGTTAATTTCAAATAGGGATTAATTAATGATGAGATTAAGGGAAAGCAAGATTATAAAGAAAGGGTCAATGTTAGTTAATTGGGTTTAAGGATAAAGATGGAGAATTAACAAGTTGTATACAGAAAATGATTTGTTGGATTATAACTTCCCTTCAGGTATATTTTATTGTGGTCCACTAATTTGTAATAATCAGTTAATTAATCTACCTTTTTTAATTAACTAAATGTTTATTTATGAACTTAAAAAACAATAATTAGTTCATTAATGAAAATTGGAAGGAAAAAAAACTGAATCAGCCCATTGTTTTGTTAAACTAATAAATACTTATTTATATAATAAAAAATAATTTTTGTTTCTAGAAAAAGTATACTTTTTAAAATTATTGATTTTTTAATTCATGATGTATCTGATCTTATACTAATTGTTGAATAAAGTAAAATGATCAAATTTATTTTATTTGTGATAGTGTTATAAAAAATAATTAAGAAGGAAAAGTATATTCACTGAATATAAATTATACTAAATAAATACATGAATATTTGGTAATAGAGGAAATATAATTATTTTTTAAAAGAAGAAATATATTAATTATATTCACATGTTAAGGTTCTTTTGCTTTTTTCTCCTTGGTTTCAAGATTACCTTTTAATAAATGAATAGCAAAAGTCTAGAAAATGTACTCTACCAGTCCTAAATTCTAATACAATATTAATATTTTTCTTTAAATTTTCTATTATTGATTAATATTCCCTTTCTCAATTCTCTTAATTTCTCTTCTATATCTAATTAATAAAGAAAATACTATAAAACTATATAATTATTCCTTTTTATATAAAATTTATTATATATTTTAGTTTGATAATTTGTGACGGAGATAATACATTTTTTATTTTAATTTTTTAGTCTCTTTTTATATAAATATATGATAAATTGTTTTTAATAAAAAAATATTATATTGAAAATAATATAAAAAAATTTAAGTAGAAAATATTATGTCAAAATTATTAAAATATATAAATTTTTATAAAATTAATTGTTTTAATTTTTTATAAATAGATCAATAATTTTAATAAATATAATAACTAATTATTTTTACAAATGAGAGAAGAAAATGATTTAATGGTTAAGATAAATTTAGAAATTTGAAAAAGTAATGATTGGTGGGGGTGTTGACTTTAAATTTCAATCATATATGAGATAACATAATTATAATGATTAATTGATGTTGATGTTTCTTCTAATTTTTTCCGCAGAGTTTTTTTGACTAAGTTAATGTTTTTTATTTTTCATTCAAAATGTTTTTTATTTTTCACCAAAAAAAAAGTTACTTATTGAAAAGGATGTTAATGTTTTCTCTCGCGCGTGTCTTGCTTCATTAGAAGATGATTTTTTTTTTAAAGATAATCATGGATTTACTAATTATATCGAGTGTTTTTTTTTTTCATTAACCATCGATTTAATTCAGTTTAGAGTTCATTATAGTTTCAGCTAATTCAGTTTAGAGTTCATTATAGTTTCAGCTCTTTTGCGATTGCAGTCGTAGAAGATTGAATCATGACTATGTCTATTAAATTTAACGGATTGTTTCTCTTTTTGAATGAAAACTTGTGGTTGTTGTTATTTTATATTGAAGTTTTATATAATTTTTGCTTTGATGTAATTATGAAAATAAAAACTTTAATGATGCAATAAAAGAAAGATTTGATTATCAAGTCTATTCTTGGATGATGATGTTTAAAATCTCACTTTTATATAATTTTCTGCTATGTTGATGTTTGATGTCATTACTTTACCATACCACTTTGTTAACTTATCGTTAAAAAATGAACTTTAACCTCTTTTGTGGCCTTGCTTTCACTTATGAACTAAATGTAAATGGAATTTGTTATCTGAAAAATGTATTTCTATCACGTGGTCTATCATGTGGTCTCTTTTGTTATGATCTTATCGGATCAGATTTGGATTGTCACAGCTGGTTCGAACTGAATTTGAGTGAGATGATGGGGGTACCTGCAAGACACTCTGATGCTAAAGTGAGAGATAGAATGGGCAGGCAAAAAGTATGTAGGCGTGTAATAGATGAATACCTGACCTTCTTGGGACATATGGTATTTATAGCCCCCAGCGCTGGGCCAATGTCTCCTTATTGGGCTGACCAGAACTGGTCCAATAAAGAAACTGTCAGGTTCTACGTGCGTAGTGGGAACCCGCACGTGGTCCCCTTCCTGGTGGTGCTCTGCGAAGAATGAGGAAGGACGAAGACGCGGTCTTTCCGGAGCTTTGAGGATTCCATAACGGTTAGAGTGGACAGAATCTGCCCTACGGGGAGGGTGTTCAAGCTGGAGTTCCCTTGGTCGGGGACGCTGTTCGTCGAGGGCAATGGCGGGCGTTGCAGCTATGGTCTGTGGCCGGGCATGTTCGGTGATGGTCCGATTGTGAGCATTCCCCGAGGAGCTGTCTGGATCTGGGCCTTTATTTGTACTTTGGGCCAAGGTGGGCCCAGTCCCGAACAGGAGCCCCCCAAGTCGTTGCTTCTGGTGCAGGAGTTATGACTTGATCTTAGCTCGCTTTTACCGCGGGGACCTGATGCCCGGACCAGTGCTTTTGTTTTTTGAAGCGTGCTCAAGGAATTTCTCGCGGGCTGCATTCGTCGGATACGTGGGGCAGTCCTTGTCGAAGCGTGCTCGAGGAATTCCTCGCGGGATGCGTTCGCCGGATACGTGGGGCAGTCCTTGGGAATCGTAACGTCACCCTAGCAAAATAGGGTCATCATTGCCTAGGGGAGTAGATGTCGAGGACGGGGAAGTCCGTGTCTCCCCGGTGCGACGTTTCATATTCCACATCATCCCTATAAATAGGACCCTTGGGCCCATAATTTGTTTTTCCTCTTCACACTCCTCCCTCTTTCTCTGATTCTGCTGTCGTCGTTTCCTGCAACGCTGTGAGATCACCGCACCATTCGCCGTTGATTACTTCCACCATTGTTGTTCGTACCTCTTTTCTTCCAAGTAAGTGTCCGTTCCTCCTGTTTTTCTTCGTTGTAGGTAGTTTTGATGCTATTTTTGATACTGGAAATACATATTTGGAAGTAATGCCCGGTAGATTCATGATTGTGCCCGAGATACTCATAGTTTTAGGGACCTAATTTATGAGATTGCCCGTGGTATTCATAGTTTAGGCACATAATTATTGATATTGCCCGTGAGATTCATAGTTTTGGGCGTATAACTCATGATATTGCTTGTGATCTTCATACGTTTGGTCGGGATGTTCATCCTTTTAGGCAGTATGTAGGGTAGTCTCCTCGCGGTATCCTAGTGTCGGATAGGCGAAGTCAGGACTTGCTCGAGTGATTCATGATTCTCTTGGGGGTGCTCATGCTACGCTCGTGTTGTCCCCGTTGCATGGTCGGAGTTGGGGTGTCCGTGTTCGGCTTGTTGTGTACTTCTTCTCGCCTCTGTGGCGAGCACGCTGATTTTCTCTCGAATTCACCGGTTTCCTGTGTTTTACAGGTAAATGGCCGACAATCTGAAATCCTCGAGGCAAAATGACGTCGAGGAAACAAGTACGGAAGAGAACGTTACATTAGTCGACACCATTGATGATCCTACGTTGGACTGGGTGGGTGCCGAGCCCCGGGGGATTGCCTCGGCGTACTATCGGCGTAGTCGGCGTGCTTATACTGTCGTCGAGCATGGCGGCAGTCAACTAGGTTTTCAAAAGAATTTTGTAGTAATGAGGCCGATGATTGATGCGCGTATCTGCTTGGAGTTTACTGAGTACGGGTTCCCTATGTACGAGATCGTGTTCAGGGATCTCGGTCTTAAGCTACCCTTCAGCGACTTTCAAGTCGGGGTGTTCAGCCATCTGAACCTGGCCCCTTCGCAGCTTCACCCCAACGCGATCGCCTTCCTTTGGCCGTTCGAGCTGACGTGCCGTTTCTTGAGAATCGGGGCGACGATTCCCCTTTTCTTCAGGGTCTTTCACCTACAGCGTCAGTCTCGAGGAGGCAGGCACAGCTGGGTATCCCTAAAACAGTCGAAAGAGGCTGTTCAGGATGTATATTGATTCAGTAAGGGACTTTAAAGATAAATGGTACGTGCTGCAGCCGGTCACCCAAACCGCATTGGACTCCTTGTTTGAATCGGAAACCGTGGTGGTCGACGCAGACAAGGAGCCCCTCGTGGATGCTGAGGGTAGTCCGGCAGTCGGGCGTATTTCCAAGTTCCCGATTCATTGGTGCTCGGGTCATTACGACCATGACACCGGGTACTATCCTACACCCGCGGGGAGCATGAGTGCCGAGGACGAGGAGGCCTATGTTGTCCTTTGCAAGTTCGTTGATAGCTCCTTCCCTGCCCGGTGGGTTACGAGGGAGGGGGATGATATTCTTGACGAGGACGGGTACCCGACATTCAAGGCTCGTCCCATCAACACCAAGGCGCTCGTCGAGTGCCAATCTTACGGGCAGGCCGTAGATCTGCTAGGTTTCTCGCTTCTGCTCTTATTGTTTTATTCCATTTTTGTTGTTTTTGCTCGCTTGCAGCTAACCCGGGTTTTGCTCCTTTTTGCAGGCGACATGGCTGAACGACGAGAGAGGTTATTGAAGCTAACCCAAGATAAGAAGATAAACAAGAGGCTGGTGAGGGCACCGCAAGCCACGAGGATGGGCCCGCCAGCCAGTTCGGGCAGAGATGCATCTAGTGGGTCCTCAAGCTCTCCCGATGCCGAGCAACCCATTGAGCTGGTTACCCGGAAGAGGAATCAGACTGAGGGCAGGTCGGAGGCTGGTGACGAGCACGTCGCTGCTCGGGCCTTCGGCTTACCGCCATGTTTTGCAGA